TTTCCTACACTTCAGCACTTCATATCAGAAAGTATTGTTGTATTATTGTGAAAGTATTTGATATATAAGGAAAATGCAGCAGATATTAGATGTTGTAGGAACAAGACATATTTTAAATTCTATAATATATACATATTAAACGAAACTATATACAACTGTCCTCTATGTTTTATTTTTTTATTATTTTTTTTTTGTGTTGATGTCAATACCCATGCATCACAGTGACCTTTTTCTTTAATATGTTTGCGAATTCGTTTTGCTCATGTTTTGTTTGAAAATTAAACAAACTGAGTGTTATTAAAAATAAAATAAAACTGTAAAACCTAGATATACAACACTAACAGCAATTCCTCTGTAAGATATTAATAATGTAAACTGTATAATTTTTTGTATATAGATAAAAACAAAACAAAAATCATTATGATGATTCTCTGCTGAAGGACGTGACATAAATGATACAAAAAGCGATTGTAATTTTTTTAGAACTGAATGTTACTGTAAAATGTTTTTTAACATTGACACCATCTTCTTTCTATAAATCAACTGAATCACGGTAAAGTTTAAAAAAACAACATATAATTCCGATTTTCCCACGATGCTTTAATGATATGTTTTGCGAAATTTAGATTAGAAAACATAACATTTAGCACAATGAACCTAATTAGAAACTGCAAAAAGATAACAATGTTTTCACATATTCACACAATGTAATCAAAATAAAGTTGTGAATCTTTTATATTCATTTGTCTTTCAACAACCAAGAATGAATATTTTTTATATCGTTAAATCTTCATAGTTCAAAGTCCTCTCATTTCAACACGCAAATTAAAGTCAGTGTGATTTCGCGATAAATCACCATCTAACTCGGATAAAGGGTTTATAATAACATGTGGCATTTAAAAAATGAAATCACTGGATTGAAACTATCAGGAGCAAGCGCATTAGTCTTTAAACATAGATTAAGACATGTTCGACATTTACATTCTTATTGGATAAACAGTTAAACAAAGATAACACAATTTATCAAATCAAACATGTTTTGCTAAAAAATAAAAGATAATTTTAAAACATTGATACAATGCATGCAAAACTGTTGTGACACATAAAGTTCATCAATTACGTTTATTATCGATACAATGAATTGGCAAAAAATAGATTCTTATAGAATATTAGTTTCATTATTAAATCTCTCGGAAAAATCTTATTTGCTAGTCCAATAGGACTGTGCAAAGGGGCACCGGCTTTTCTTAAAGTTAATTTTAAATTACTAAATAATAATTAATAAATTAAAAGAATTCTGGTTCAAAATGAAATTTGTCATGATATTCAGAGAAAGGTGGTTTTTATCGATTTCACTGTTTGCCATGATTGATGTAACATGTAACAGAGGGATTGTTGATTAGTATAATCAATGAGATATAAAATATTTTTCTTTTATTATACATTGTTTTAGTAGATACGTCCGAAACTTGTTTTGAGATTATATTGATTCTAATTCAAATTCTATTCTGATTCTTATTGATTCTAATAAATTATTATTATTATTATTATTATCATTATTATTATTATTATTATAATTATAATTATTATTACACAATAGTCATGAAGTATTACGATTTTTTTTATTTTTTCTAGCTAAAAACGAAGCATGGATGCCGTATTAATCACTATGCCTTTATCGCAAAGGTCGGAACATTTTTTACTTTTCTTATTATCCATTTATAATTAACTCAGACACTTTCAAATGAGCATTTGAAAACTGTATTGATATATAACAGTGCCGTTTTTTCATTGATTCATATAGGTAAAAAAATCAATTTATATAACAGTTGTACCTTGTATATATCAGTGTAGTTTTAAACACAGAGGCTCCAATGGGGGAGAGGTAACGAACATTTTTAGTAGAAAAAAGGACGAAAATTAATAAAAAAATGAACTTTAATCCAAATACAACTGTTAAAATCAAAAGGTACGTCCGCTGAATGAATTATTATAACTGAAAAAAAAGCCTTTAAATCTTAAATCAATGTAAATTTCTCAACATGGTATCAGTTTACAATCCGTCTCTAACATTGGACGTCTTTAAGTATTCAATATTAAAAATATCTGAAAGGTAACCAACGACAGCAGAAGCCTTTTCTGGAAGTGGAAAGTGAACAAGCACAATGGAGAGAAAAGCACATGTTTTTATCATTTGATTTTTTTTCTCTTTTTTTTTTGGTTGTTTGTTTTTTGTTTCATTTTTGCTGATTTCTATTACCAAAAAATTCAAATTGCGATAAAACAATTATAATAATAATGGAACTGGTTAGTTAAAAAGTTAAAAAATCGTCCCGGCCTAACATATTTTAGCAGACACATTCATCGATGTCGCCTAAGCCAGTGTTATATCCTTTATATTTAACTCGTTTCCTATACCATAACTATTCATTATTCTCATTTGATTTGACGTTATGGTTCAAAACAACTACATCTGAAATACACGCTAATTAGCGGCGCGCGAACCGAGGTTTAATATATGTATAAAACTGTGGGGGCGTGGAGCGAAAACACGCTAAGTAGTTGGGGCGCGGGGAGATAAGTCGAGATTTCTTTAATAGGTTTTCTAAATTTTTTGTAAGTTGTGTAAAATTTAATGATAAAAAGAAAGATACATGTTGACCTGTTAGATTTCTTGTAAAATGGCAGTTTCCATGGTAACCGTAAATATCTCAAAACTATCAAAGTAGCCCAATTGTGTTAAATGTATAAGACAGCTAAATGTATAAGACATCTTAATACACACACAATAAGCATAGTTTTATACAAAACATGTTTTATCTAAGGGTTATGTACGGAACAAACGATAATCTGAACATATTTCTTGAAAAATGAGTTTATCATGATTCTTAACTGAAAAAAAAATGAGAAAAATATGGAAGCCCTGGAGGGACATTTAAAAACTATATATTTAAAATTAAACTTAATATTATTTAAAATTTAAGTTTTAATAGTTAAAATTTAAATCTTATCATTAAAAAAGAACGCGTGTTCATTTTTTTTCTCAAAAAACGATCCATCCCAGATTGGAGCCTCTGGGACCGGACCAATATCAATGCGATATTTTAAATGTCAGGGGTCTCGACAACACGCTCAGCTGGTGTAAACTGTATAGGTCCTCGGTGTTGCCTTCAAATTTCATTAAATAAGTTTGGCTTAAACTTGCTTTTACTCATTAATTTAGTATACATTCTTTTTTAGTAATTAAATTTATGTCTCTCGTTTTATAAAACGTTATTGCTGTACAAACGAGATCCCGTACTTTTACGCCCATGCTTAAACACCACTTGCAAAGCCATGCGGATAAAAAGACTGCTTTCACAAACGTGTTTCTTATTGCTTCGTTGTTTAAGGTAATCATTTGTTTTAATTAGCGAATAGATGATTGCTAAACTGTTTGAAGTAATTTCACTTGTTGTAAACTTATAGTCTCCAACATAAAGTGGTGTCATTAATTTCATGACATAAAGGTCACTCTTCTTTTTTCCCTTCTTTTCTTTATCTATAACTGAATAATAAGGTTACTCCAATTCATATTTTCACAAATTGTTAAGGTCTCACACGTAAAGCAAAGGCAGTTTTAAACATAAAGAATACCTATAGGCAAACAAAACTGGAAATAATCATGAAACTAAAACCTAAGCTTCAATTTGAAAGGTACGGGAACTAAAGAGATACACATGTAACTATAATTTTATAGTATTACTTATTACACTTTCAAAACTCACACGCTTGATCTACAACATAAAATAATCGCATAAAATATTCAACAAAAAGGCTCTTTTCTAATATAGTTTTCTGAATGGAAAAGTTTGAACGTAACGGTTCAATGTTGTAAAATATACTTTATTATTTTGCTTTATGACAAATAATATTACTGGCTATCTTTTTGTTACTTAAAAAACAAACCTTCTTAATTTCAGAATGGATATAATCAACTGGTATGACTTAAGGTTTTCCAAACTCGGCGTCGTGTGTTTGATTACCGTGCTTATTCAAAATATCGCATTTCAGTCCAAGGTACTTAAAATTGTCATTGATTTGAAGAACTAGACTATAAGTAAAATTTTATTATCAACTAAAATGATTAAATAGTAAACTCAAAGTACCACTAAATTTTATGAATAAAAATATATTTATATGCACTTATGCTGCTGTTATTTACTATTTAAAGCTACATACCCCCAGATAGGTAAAAATATTTCAATGAAATCAAACTTAAGAAAAAATAACTTAGATGTAAGGAAAAGTAAAATTATTCAAGATACAAGTAATATTTTGCATTTTATGTGCGGTTAATGACCAATTTTTCAGTATTTACGACTATATTTCTACTGCATTAATAGATTTAACGCAGTAAAGGCTATTTATGAATATTTTGACCACGTTTTTGGTAATTTACGTTGCTTGTAAGTGTCACTGATAATGTGTAAATTGCTTTCTTTTGGTTACTTCACAATATTACACATTCAAATACATCTCAAGAATTTTCAGGAATATCAGCATGAATCTGGAGGCGTGCTGCTTTAAAACAACATGTCTCTATATACATTCTAATTCTCATTTTAATTAAAATAAAAAAATATAAAAACAAACAAACAAACAAAAATAAAAATGCTTAACAATAAATAAAAGTGGTAAGTCTTCAGCATTTATAATCAATTTACAATCAATAATAATAATAATAATAATAATAATAATAATAATTCAATTCACAAGTAACATGTAATATTGATATTTGGACTATTCATACATTACTAAATTGTTCTGAAGTTTAATATTTTAATAATTTGTTAAGATATGTAGCTTTACAAATGTAACATGGTAATTCAATACCCCCAGTGCATGTATCGCAAATAAAGAAAGGTAACTATTTCGGTCATAAATTTCACCAAATTATTGCGCCCCCTTAAATATGTTTTAATATTTAAACTTCCTGTTTACTTATAGATAAACTTGAGAACAATCACGGAATGTCGGCTTACATTTATTTTCTTTAAAGCAGCAACAATTAACGGATATAACTTACTATTGTAAAAGTTAACGTTGTCAAACATAACAAAAAAACATTTTATATCAACAAGCTTAAAATTTGAAAGGATTATATTGCTTTCATTGAGATATATTGATTTTCATAAATTCAAAATGGAAGTATCAGGTCGGAAGGAATGCGACGATAAACATTCCATATCTAACAAAGGGAGACAACTTACAGTTCTTTGCCAGCCATGTGAATGTGACGGTGATACAGTAGAAGCGGAGGCATTCTGTGAAACTTGTAATGAGTTTATCTGTTCTCCCTGTTTGAAGGCTCATCGTAAATTAGCTATAAGTAAAAATCACGTAATCAAGTCGAAGGATGAAATGCCAATATCAAGGAAAAAGCAAAAAGATCCATGTACGGAGTTGTGTTCAAGCCATCATACCGAAATTATAAAGTTTTATTGTGAAGACCATAATTATGTAGGATGCGGAGATTGTATGGTACTTAGCCACAAAGCATGTTCTGTTAAACTCGTCAATGAGGTATCCGACAGCTACGATACCAGCGAGGAACTCGTACAAATCAAGAAAAAGATTGAAACCCTTATGCGTAGAATTTCATTTTACCATGATGATTTTGTAAATGGCATAAAGGCGGCTGATGAAATGAGAGATAAGATTATAAAAGATATTCACATTTTCCGACAAGAGATTAACGAATATTTGGATAATGCTGAGGCAGATCTGTTGAAACGAATAGATCAGCTGACATCGAAACAAGTGTCTCAGCTTGGGCATATGCAAAAAGAATTTGAGTCTATGGAAACTGAAATGAGAGAATGTCAAGACAAAATAAGTAACAATTCAGATAAGATAAATCAATTGTTTGTAATAGCAAAACTTGCTCATGAAAAGATTGAAGCCTGCCAGATTTCAACAGAGGAGCTTGCATCTAAATGTGAGATTGAAATATTTGACTTTGTAAAGTCTCACGAGTTAGAAAAACTTGTGACAGGCAAACTACACATTGGTGCTATCCATGAGAAAAAATCGAAATCACATATACACAGCAAAAAGAGCCTAAAAAATGTTCAAACAACGCTGGTAAAGAGTCTTAGTGTCAGGTCAGTTAAAGACACAAACGAATGCTACATATCAGGAATGGCATTAATTTCATGTTGTGAACTCTTGCTTGTTGATTTTAGAAATTATTGTCTTAAACTTTTAAACGTAGAAGAGAATGAAATAACACGTAGATTTAATACAGGTGATCAACCATGGGACGCTACTTCAATCAATTTGAAATTATTCGCAGTAACTCTAGTCACAACAGGTGAAATACTCTTCATCAATACATCAAATGGAATTTCTAAAAGTCACAGTATTAAGGTCAGAAAGGACTGTAGAGGAATCGACTACCGTAACGGAGTTCTTGTTGTATCGTTCGAAAGGCCAGCATGCGTTCAGCTACTTGACATGGAAGGAAACATAATGAAAGAGTTTGATATCGCGAAACATTGTACACATCCTTATTATATAGCTTCATGTAACGGAGACAACAAAAGCTACATTGTGTCTGATTTCTATAACAATGCTCTTGTTGAGTTTACTGTTGATAGGAAAGTAAAGGATAAAATAACGAGCAATGATATGAAATCACTACGACAACTTGTTATGACACATGATGGGGCGGTTATTGTTTGTTGTCAGAGCGTCAGTGATAGACTAATCATGGTTACATCAAAACCAAGAGAGGTACTTCCTTTTACTGTGAAAGGAGTCAAGAAACCAATTTGCTTGGCGATATCTGATGATCAGAAGAGGATGCTTATTTATGACAAGTCACATAATGATATCAAAGTATTTGATGTCAATTGACATGTATTGTAGGCATAACATAGATGTGTGTTTATCACGTACATGTACCTATTATCGGACACTGATTGTATATGTATAGGTCTTTTTTTTTTTTAACAAAGTGTTTGATATCATTTGAATTGATATGAACAACTAACATATGGTTTCATCACATATTATCGGACACTCTCACACTGTATATGTAATGATATCTTAAAACTCAAAGATTACATTATCTCTTACATAAACATTTCATGAAATAAGAAATTTGTGATAACCATGTTTACAATGATGGTTCGATCTTCATCATATATGTTCCAAACAGTTTTTATCTATAAATTGTATTTATTCAGAGATAGGTTGGTTGTTTATCACTTACACAGTGAGCCATGATTAATGTAACATGTACAGAGTGATTATTGATTACTATTGTCAATGATATGTAAATAATTTTCTTTAATTATTGTTGTTTTAGGTGGTACAGCCGAAATTTTTCTTGTGATTATATTGGATCTTATGTTAGGTCTTTAAATTATGACAATACCATGGGAGGATAACAACATTGACCACAATTTTAACTTAAAAACATTGTGAATGTTTGACATATTTTTGGTTTGTCTCTCTCAAATAGTACGATAAGTATCTATATTGGCAGAAGTTAAAGGCACATTATGCCTCAGAATCTAATAAACGTTTATTTCATTGAAGGGGTAAATTATAGATATATAAATGTTATAATTTTCAAATATTGGTTTTAGGTAGGACATGTTACTTGCTTTGTAACCTGATAAAAGTCGCACTAAAGTTATTTGTCATTAAAGTAGTACAATGTAAACAATGCAGTATTGTGATTTCTATACATAATCACTATATTTTTACAAATTGCCAAAAAGCTATCAGTAGAAAAAAAAAGCTGTGCATGTTTGTTTTATTTTCAATATCCAAATAAAACTAATTAATTATGTAAGAATCGTGTTTGAATGCATTACTCTAAGTCTCAAATAACGGTTAGAAACACCAAATTATACTTTACATTTTTATGGTATTCCTGTTGGAATTTTTGACCTATACCATTTTATATTATTGAAAGAGAAACACCCAATTGTCCTGTACTGTAAATGTTTATGTCTGACAAATGCCATTTCATATTGTGCAACGAGAAATAATTGTCCTTAATTACAATGAATGTCTATGTCTAATATAATGTCTGATATAAAGTCTGATACAATATCCTAGGAATTTTATGGTAAACAAACAAAGATAAAGAAAAGCGATATTACTCTGTATTAATATATTCCACAGCGTCATATTCAATATGAGCAAATGAATGGTATGCTGTATTTCACAGTTGCTTTTAATCTCTGATTCATTTCTTTTAAACGAAGAGAAATATTTGTCCTAATGAGATTATAATTATTGAAAAAGCAGACACAATTACATTCTTTTCTCTTATTTGACAATTATCTTATACCGAAAAGAGAAATATAAATATTCATGCCAGTTAAGTGAATAATGTGTTTTAAAGCGTACCATTTACACTGCAAAATTAGATTCTTTAAAATGAAGTAAATCAAAATTAATTTTCAAAAATATTTATTTCGAAATTACGTAATGACGTTTGATCAGGAGAAAAAAATGAAACACATTTTCGCTTTTCAAATTTGATTTCCTAACTTATTTTATCTAAATAATGGCCGAAGTACTCCCAGCCATATAGAACGATTCACTCAAACGCAGAATAGCTTCATAAATCGTTAGTGTAGTTTCGCGGATAAATATTTGTACAAATTTGTGATTTCACATATTTTCACAATTAACAAATATGTATAAAGAACTCCTAATTATTTAAGGAGTAGTTCTAGCCTGGCATTGTCTTCTAATGATCTGTTGATTTTAAAGAACAGTAGAACAATTGCAATCTAATAAAAAATGCTTACGGGTCTCTAAGACTTTGATGATAGAATAAAACACTGACTTTAACTACATTGAGTCTCATTATAACCTTTTTTATGACATAAAGTTATTTTATAACTCTTAAACTAGTAACGTGTATTTAAATGTTTGTGCTCATTGTTTATTCCTGCACTGTGAATTTAAAAAAATAAAATTAAAAAAGTGTAACAATAACTTTATTTCAATCTTAATCCAATTTTGAATATAACTGTTAGTCACTGGCGGTTTTTCAGTTGAAATGTGATACATTTATTAAATGTTTGAATTGTTACAAATACTAAAAAAGTGAACTGAAATGGCTTTTTAGCTCACAAGAGCCGAAGGCTCAGGGTGAGCTATTAGTATCAAAGGGGGATACTCCGGCGTCCGTCGTCCGTCGTCATGCGTCAACAATCGTCTTCTTCTCTGAAACCGCTGGACAGATTTACTTCAAATTTAGTCTGTAGCATCCTTGTGACAGTCACACTTGAATTTGCTCATGCCATTTCAATTGGCCCCTTTTAGGGGTCAACAGAGCTAAAAATAGAAAAACCTTTAAACATCTTCTTCTACAGAACTAATTGATGGATGATCACCAAACTTTTTCTGTATCATTCTTGGGTAGTCTTTTATCAAATTTGCTCATACATGTATTAATTTGATCGGCTCCTTTTTGGGGTCTCTAGGGCTACAAATAGAAAAAAACCTTTAGACATCTTCTTCTACAGAACTAATGGATGGATGATCACCAAACTTTGTCTGTATCATTCTTGGGTAGTCTTTATTCAAGTTTGCTCATATCAATTTGATTGGCCCCTTTTAGGGGCTGCTAAAGCTAAAAATAGAAATAACTTTTAACATCTATATCTAGAGAACTAATTGATGGATGATCACTAAACTTTGTCTGTAGCATTCTTGGGGAGTCTTTTATCAAATTTGCTCATATTAATTTGATTGGCCCCTTTTAGGGGTCTCTAGACCTAAAAATAGAAAATCATTAAGACATATTTTTCTACAGAACCAATTGATGGATGATCACCAAAATTTGTCTGTAGCATTCTTAGGTAGTCTTTTATCAAATTTGCTCATATTAATTTGATAGGACCCTTTTAGGGGTCAAGGGAGCTAAAAATGATATAAACCTTTAGACAGCTTTTTCTACAGAACTTATTGATGGATGATCACAAAACTTTGTTATTAGCATTCTTATAGTATTCTCTTATAAAAATTGCTCGTATTTATTTGATTTGCCCCTTTTAGGGACTGCTAAAGCTAAGATACCCCAGACCATGGCATTTCTTCAAATTATAGTTTAATGAAAGGGAAACAACTCATGCTGGAATTTCTTTCATACATGTGAATGACCTGCTGTTTGCTGATGAAATTATTTGAGGTCATGACCTCTTATGAAATAACGTAAGCACATTATACAAGAAATATAAGAACTTAGTATCAAGCTTTATTTGGTTTCATTCATATTCACTTAATTACATCACTTCATGCAGTGTTTTCTCTAGAGAGCGTTTTCTGCGTTTTTGACACAGTACTTTTGCATTTGATGCGGTAATATTATAGCCGTGTGTTTTCCGTGACGCATAGTTTTGCTGAGCGTCGTATATATATTTTTTCTATAAATAGCATGAATTTCATCAGCTGATCGGTCACATGATTCATCTTAGACGCTTAAGTGATTATTACATGTTAAAAGCGTTCAGGGCGCTTCAGATTGTGACGTCATTATCCGGGTAAATTCACAAATGTCTGTGTCGTAGGGCGAATCGTAAAATAAAAGAGTTATGTGTTTGAATTGATAAATATATTAAATAGATAAATAATTGAATAAATCATGCTTGTTGTTTTTATTTTTATTCCCATTATTATTACTTTTGTCAAAACAGTCCTATAAACCTTTCTTATATACCTATAAAGTAGCCGAATTATCTTTTCCAATGTATACTTTTTTTTTCTTCATAACCTATCGCATAATAATAAGTCGCTTTCTATGTAACCTGTGACCCGTTTACATTGTACACGAATGCAATGCTTCATTGCATTCGCTATTAACTCTTTATTACACATAGACGAACATTGTAAACTATTTAATAAATATTGTTATATATCTTTGATATATCTGTTTAATTCACAGGTTAGTGATACATTTTTATTGTGCATTTCACTCTAGTAATTAGTTTAAGTAATTTGTATTAAGCTATGTTCTTAATAAGTATTTTAAAACTCAACTTTGTAAAAGGAATCGTTCATGTCATTATTTCATATTTTGTATACATGTACTTTGTTATTGCAATGCTTCATTGCATTCGCTATTAACTCTTTATTACACATAGACGAACATTGTAAACTATTTAATAAATATTGTTATATATCTTTGATATATCTTTTTACTTCACAGTTTCTAATCCATTCCAAAGGACCCATGATTGTCCGTCAATAATTAGAAATGTTGTTTTCGCGGACCAGCTTATCAGCTGCGGCAGTAATATAAGCTCTACCGACGAGTGAACCCGTGACATCTGCTTCGAAAAAAGCAGTCTAGATTGACTTCATTCTTCAATAAAGACAATGTTAACGTTGATGGAGCAACTGAATCTACCGTAATCAACTCTGCGCCTATACCAAATGAGGTTTCCCAACCAAATCAATCGGCGAATGCTGAAACAACTGAGAAATCCAAGCAAAATGATAATGCTCCGAAGCGTTTTTTTCGTAAGGAATGTTTGGTTATTAAAATGACTTGCACAGTTTGTATTACTGAAAATAAAGACAAATCATTCACATCGGGATGCACAAACTTTAGAGTTTTTTATTACCGTATGGTACTGGTTGCGGGAGTTGACGGAAAATTGGAACTAGAGTGTTACGTTTGACAGACGATACCAAAGCTCCATAATTTTACCGATTGGGTCAAATAAAAAGTTTGTTGTCCCATACTGTAAACACCTTACATATTTTGCATGTGACATTTTGTGTATTCATTTACAAAAGTTATAAAGAAAAAATGTTCCATCAAAATTAACCCTGCTGTAGTGGTCATTTATCAGGTCTAGTATTTCACGATATTTATGGACTGTCCGTAAATTTATGGATAGTCTATCTTATATCCCAAGGATAGTCTAGAAATTTAAAGATTTTTCAATCCATAAATTTACAAATCTATATTCAATGTGAAATTTGCTGTTTTTAATTTTACACTTAAATCCGCAGCTTCTGACTAGAGTCAGTGTACCCGGTGTCGTACACTTTTTTAAGGAAAAATAAGAAAATTATCTTAAAGTTAAAAATTCTTCTAATAATTGATATTATTTTGAAAAAAATACATCATTGGCCCATAAAAACTGATGACCAAAACGTTTCTATCTTAAATAGGTCATACTTCTAGGCGCACTTGATTTTAAGCAACAGGAATGGGCCAAATATAATACATAATGGACTCAGTTCCGCACACAAGGCCATTTTTATACTGAAAGGTTATTTTACATCTTAAGCATGTTTTATAAATTATTTAACATCTCTAAGTCGAGATAAGGTATTTTTTTGCAAATTTTCAGGACTTCAAATAAATCTAATGCACATTCTTACTACAGTATACAAACATTTATTTCCAAGAAGAGTAGCACACAGGAAACATGTAACAACAATGGAAACATACTTTTTTACAACATGTAGGTAGCAAGCATAGACAACAAAATTATGATTGAAAGTTTTTTCATCTATTTAGTTATGATTTGTTCGATTAAGAGTTTGGTTTTATTTTAAACAAAAGAATCAAGGTGAAATGACTTGACGTTTGGTAGTTGGGAGAAGTTAATTCATGTGCATAGTTCATAACTAACAGCAAATTTGCCATAACAAAAGCATACGTTTCTTTTTATAATAATTTTAACATTAAAATAGAAATTAGCATGGTTTAATTGCTGAATAAGATGTTTTTTATGTGTGACCTACACAGCC